AAAAAAAGAAAGAAAATAAAAATTTCAAGAAATTCACCAAAGACGGAATGGAAGAATTTTATCGTGACCTGAATAAGATTACTGTAAGCATGCTAAGTGGCATAAAATTTCACGCTTCGACATGGAGCTTTGATGTATAAGACCATGATATTACAATCATTTTACCACGTTCAAGGCATGTTATACTTAACGATCAAAGGGCTCCCACTTCGAACACTTTATAATCCCATGTATAATTGGTTCATGGGTATTACAGAAAAACGTTAATCTTTAATATAACAGAGAAAACTAGTCAAATCAAACGAAAATTTTAATGCTATGATGGTTTGTAAATTTAGTTGGTATGGGCTACTTAAAAACAGCTTCATTGATCCATATGCTGATACGCTCAAACATTATGCGGGGAATTCAACATACTGAAATATAGCAAAACGTAAATCATTTTTAAATTTAAAATAAAAGAAAAAAGAGTTACAGGACATTATGCACTGCAACGGGGTTCAACAAATATACCTGTTCTCAAAAACTCGGGAGGGGTGTATGCTAAATTCGTACTATAACTCTTCCCATCCCTACTATTCTTCATCAAGCCAAAACTTGACAACCTCGGATCACCATCCTGTAACAGGACAAAAGAAAAATTCAATCAACACACCACAATAGCCATTACAACTGACGACAACATTATGGACTGTAAATGAAATAATGATAAGCTTAGCCGAGAGAACAAGGAAAATGAACTCGAGGACATTTCCAAATTTCTAGTGATTATTGCAATAGATTATGCTGATAGCTCATAACGGATTTAACAATTAGCCAATTTTGTTAAGTATCCTGACCAGTTCATTTCTTCAGAAATATCCACTTTTATAGTGAATGTGAACATAATGTGGGTGGGCAAAGATATAAGGATAATTCTTAAGGACAACCCTACAGTGATGGACAATAAGGTGGTTTTTGTTTATAATTCTTGTCAATTCATACTCAATCCATACTCAAAATCTAACTAAACTTTAACTCAACCCGACTATCCGCAATATTATCAAAATAATTAAATAATATTAACTAATCATTCTTACACATCACATCAACTTTAATTCAAAATTTATCCGCTCATATAATTCTAACTAACCATCACTTTACATCGTCTCTCTCCTACGTTTACATCAATTCAACTTTGATCATTTTAATTTAAATATTTTATTTCAATATAAACTCCAAATCTCACTAAAGATTAACCATACCACATTTTTCTTTCAAAATTAACTTTTTTAAACCAAAAAAACTCGTTTTGAGCGGATATATATGTATCCAAGCACGCCTTAATTTATTCCTTTGAAATTTTGCAGTATTACAGTTTAAATGACTGTGGTACTTTTACTTGAAACACTGAAGTTCTTCCATGTCACTTAAATTTACTAGAGTACCTCATCAAAAAGAACTCTGTAGGCATTTAAGTCATGATAGATTTTCCTATTTTCGGCATTGCAGTGGTCAAGAGCTTGTGCTATGTGGTATGCGACTCTCGCACGCATTCCCCATGACAGGGGCTTCTTATCCCCTTGATAAAAAAAAAAAAAAAAAAAAAAAAAAAAAAAAAAAATAGAAGTTGCGAAAAACAACACAAGAACAAACATGTATTTCCATGTAATGTGTGTGTGTGTGTGTATATATATATTTCATTAGAGGAAAATATAATCATACAGTGAAAGAGGTGCTTAGACAGCGTATCATTAGGCATGTACTCTGCAACTAACAGTCGTTCATCGCCTTCAGCACAACATCCAATCATGTTCACCAACCTTTTATGCCTAACCTTGCCAACTCCAGCAGCCTCTGCCTGCAAATATAAGCATTAAGCACTATATTTAAAAAGAAGCATAGTTCTGATTCGATCACAACAAAAGTAGCTGCATGCATGGACAAAGAACAGCTTATTAATTACATAGAAAGTCCCAAAAAACGCTTGACAAAAGATTAGACTAGACCACCCAACAATGTTATTAGATAACAAATAAGTATATTATTATAGCAACCCCTACAGGAACAAAATCTGTAACAAAGTCAATAAAAACTATGAATTCCAAAGGCAAGCGAAAACTTTAATAGCAATTAATATATACACATGCATATAAGGTTATTGAATACAACAGTTAAGCAGAAAGCTAAAGTTGCCATATTAGCAAATACGAAACTAACCACAAACTGCTGAGGATTAGGCCACGATTGCTTCGAAAAGCGCTTGATGGCAACAAGCCTGTTACTGCTAAGCTTGCCTCTGTAGACAACATTAGGAGCTTTGTCACCACTCTCTGAAACTATAAGTTCACTACTAAAACCGTTTGTTGCGGCGCGAAGCTCTGCAAGCCCGAATTCTTTAAAGGCCGGCACTTGATCTTGATCCATTTGGTCCCCATTTTCTACATTGCCAATTGCTCATCATAATAATAAATTATAGATAAAAACCGTTGACACCCTCAACAGTATATCATAGTTATAATCCACCGGAAAAATGTATTTAATTTTCTCTAGCAAGATTCCAGTTTTGACTCTATTTACAGCCTAGGATTGCATTCATTCATTCAATAATAATTATTTTTCCTCTTAAACAACTGAATCTAGCCGCAAAGTCAAAAACCCGAAAGAAAAGTGGGGACAGTTGACCTTTATTTTCCCCAAAGAAACAGATACAACCCAGAAAATTTATGCAGTCGTTTATATAAAAGCAACCCAAAGGGAGCTTATCAAAAGAAAGCAAACATGGAAAGATAAATGCCAAACAAAAAAGGAAAAAATGCACAATCTTTTACTTGCGCAATGAGATGAGAAAGTTGCACATAAATAACCCCCCAAAATACACACAAAGTCACACACACACACACACACACACACTAATTTCAGCTGAAAAAAAAAATTAAAAAAATAAAGAGGAGCAAGAAATGAGAAAACAGGGAATACCCAGATCTGGTTTGGAGTCGGGCTGTGAAGGTAGCTTGTCAGGGGACTGAACATTAGCAGTCTTGGACTGCAAACAGCCCATGTCTAACTGTGTTCACATCCACGCACTTGAAGCCCACTGAGTGCACCTCTGTGTGCACGCTCCGATGTGAACTCTGTCGTGTATGAGAGAACAAAACAAAAATCGCTTTATGGGTTTTAATGCGCGATGCTCTTTATGTATGGTCGATGCTTGTTTTGCGCTAGAGCTTGCAATGAAAGAGAAGAAAACTGTGAGCCCCTCTGTGTGTGTGTGTGTGTGTGGAAGATGAAGGGGGTGAGTAGAGAGACCAGTGAAATTGACTGTCAAGGACTGGGAGGGAGTCACGTGATGCGTCGATGATTGCCACGTGATGAGTTGCAGATAAAATATGCTTTTGTACCTTGTAGCGCTTGTACACGTCGAAGATGTTCACATTGACTTTCCTTCCCATTTGCAACGAGTATGTGAGAGAGAAACTTTTTTGTGTGTATGATTCAGTTCATTAAAAGCTCGATTAGTTAATGAGTCACTTACTTCGTCTCGTAGGCTAAATGTCAATTATAATGAGCCTCTCGCTTTCATCCCAGTTTCGGACCTTTGGAAAATATAATTTTGTATAATTTTAAATAGTTTTGCTTCGTTAAAACTCGACCTTGACTCGTTCGTGTTAATAAACGAGTCGGGTTCGTCTTGGCTCGATAAAAGCTCAATATCGCCTATACTCGTTTACATCCATATTTATGGGTTGATTTTTCACTATCGATTACACATACTCACATATATATCATGTGGTTTGCGTGTTTAGTGTGTTTTTATTCAATCATAAATATTCATCAAGGGTAGGTAAGATCATATTTGAGAGTCGAAATACTGAAAGATAACATATTTAGGTCAACATACACACATGTGTTATTATTCAATCTGTTTGCTAACACAACTCGGTTTGATTCGGTAAAATTCGAGTTATGTTTACTTGTTTATTTAAAATTTTGAAACACTAATTTTGAACAATCGATTGACATTATTTGCAAGCAACACGATTATATTTTTTATTTTATTTTCAAAAAATTATAGCAAACAGTCTACTCGAGCAAGTTCTCAAATGCACGTAGGCATGCTCACGAGCAACTAATTTTTAATTTCTGGCATATGTTAAACTAACTTAGGTGAGCTTAATGAGCACAATTCGCAAAGAAAACATTAATTCAAATAGAACTTTTTTATCCAATTGAAAATATTGTATTGACACGTATCATACAATAAATACACTTTGAGCAGTGTCGATAATATAAAATGTAAATATTGTGAGACGCATAATTAAAATCAAATATATTATGTTCGGGTTTAATATATTATTCACATTGAAAATGTGTTTACCTATAATTGTGACTTATTGAAAACAAAGTGTATATAAGTACTATAGATTAAAAGTGCCAATAATATAATTTCAAATTTAAAAATAAAAAATTGTGTTGCATAATGCTTTTGATGCAAACAATATCATAATTGGATGTTAAAAAATGTAAGTTACATTTTAGAGTAATTCACGTAAGCAGAAACAAAAAAAAAAAACTAATTCAGTTCGATAATAGGGAGCAAATAGTTCGCAAGTTCAAATGTAATTCAATGAAATAGGATTTTTTCTCCAATATACTTTTTTTTAACAAAAAATTATACATAATTAAAAATTGATACTTTGAATATTATAAATTATATTCATAAGGAAAAAAATTAATATAAGCAAAAAA